CCCTTAAAACAAAATATTATCTAGGTTTTACTGCCATCCCTCTCAAAGACCAGGTTTTGTCATTCTAACTTTCAGGATACGATCAAGCTATTTTCTAAGTATTCAATTCTACTTTGATATATGATGATTTGAAACGAAATTTCCATAGCTTAGAACAAATCTCTGTTGTATATCTTAATATCTTCAACCTATGTTATGATGGATAGGCTCATCATATAAGATATATATTTCTGTATATCTTATGAATATTTGTTATAGCTTATTCCTTTTTCAGATCAAAATTCCAGTACAAATGCCCTGAAATAACATATAATTACAGTAATTACAAGAAAATTTGTATTAAATTCAAGTTCATAGAGGAGATGCATCTGAAAATAAAATGTGACAACTTTAAATTTTATGTGTTGATGAGAAAAAGCCCTATATTATTTAGAATGCTGCTTGGAATTGAAACATTTCCAAATCAGTCAATAGTTAGAATGGTAAGAATCCATCATTTCACTGACACTTACTCCTTACAGAAAAGATGTCCTATTTTAAATGTATTCACACACATTCTTGTCAGCTGGAACCTGTCTTGGTAAATTATTTCATTTTGAAGATCACATGATATCTAAATGTTATTAAACAAAAAAATCTTTATCTCTTCGTTTAAATACAGACCTGAAATGCAGCATTAAGAACACTAAACATGGATTACTTTTTCTAGCGGCCCCCTTTTCTCAGTGCATGAATAAAAGACACAAAATCTTACTCATTATTTTTAGTTTTAGCACACAATACTGGAAACATATACATCTTACAAATACAACTCTAAATGAAAAAGTATACACATTTTGGCTATGTAGTAAAAAAGTGAACATTTATGTACTAATTGTTTCCATATCTAGTATTCTTTTACTATAGTGATCCACAGAATGAGAGCTGGAGGTAGGTCATAAACAATGCTCTGTACACAGGTAATGAGATGTATTCATCAGATGAACCGCCTATGTGATCAGCGAAGTGGACCATGCTCCTCACAAGGAATTCTTGTCAGTATGACTTACAAAAAATATGTGAACATGGCATATCGACACCAGCATGGTGGCCAAAATGCTGTCTTTGGAAAGTGATTCAGTTTAAGATCAGCACAGCTAAATTAGATCTCTACTTGTACATTATTTATATGTGAACTAGACATCTTCGTTGTTATTACAGTCAGTGGAGCTCTAGTAATACGTATAGTCATACATCTGTATAAATGTTTAGCTTCACTACTCTGAAGGCTCCTGCAGAAAGCACTGATGTTACTCTCAGTAGTACAGAGCATAAACCTGAGCATAATTGGGTTTGGATTGCAGTCTAAGTCCACAATTGCTTGATCAGCCAAAACTCCTTTGTCTCCAACTTAGTAGCACTGAAGCAAGATCAAGATAAACGGCAAACACAGAAACTGAAAACTTACTGAATGGAAGATGAACTTTAGAAGAAGCCATGTTTTTCACAATAGCATGACTGATAAAATGCACAAACATTTTATGATGGAGTGATAGCCAATTGATGATTATTTTATCAGGCAAGGTTGCTAATGTCACTGGAATTAAATTCAATAGGAAGAAATTAGTATCAGTTTAAGAAATTGGTAATGAAGGAAAAATGAAGCAGTACGTTGGAGACACCTGAAACTCAATTGCAAAGAGGTGGAGGGAGTACAATAAAAGCTGAGAGGAGAAACATGAGGTATTACAAAGAATAAATAAGAACATCCAATATTTTGAAATTCAGTAACTGCTAAACATATAAGTGCCTGCAAACAAACACTGCTGTACATGGTCTCCTATATATTTCCAATGAACAATTAATTAAATACGACCACTGACCATCAGCAAAACACATGGAAGAACAACATACTCCAGAGTATTAACTCTTTGGCACAATTCTGCAACACACTAGTTCCACAAATGTCCCCCAAAAATATTTTTAAATGCTTGAGACTTGGTACTTTTTTGTTTGCTAAACTTCTGTTGGAATGGCAACTGATGTGTCACATGTATTTATTAGAAATATTGAATTAAATTAATGAAGCCATGGCTTTCAATTTTTATCCGAGATCATGCAATTTGTGAACTTACGTTTGAATCCTTATTCACTTTATCCAAATCTCAATTTAAATTTTAATATGTCAGAAAGATGACAAGGTGAATAAATCCAAATAAACCAAGACATCAACATCACTGGGAATTATATTTTATCCAGGTATTTATACCACTTGCAGCAATGAAAGTATATGCAAGAGGATACAATTCAGATAGACACTGTGATTTATGCAGTACTTGAAATACAGATTTCCTCAAAAGTGCTGATCTTACAAGTATTTATGTGTAACTACACATGTAAAAAGTCCCTCTGACTTCCATAGGATCACATGTACATATTTGGGCTTTACAGTACACTGATCTTCCATTCCCATGCAAAAAAGATTTGCTACTGACATTTGACATTGTTATCTATGCGTTAAGGACTCAAGTGCAGCAATCAGTACATTTATACTGACACATCATACTACTCTATGATCTCTTCCCAGTCTTGGGCTAGAGAAAGAAAATATAAAATATGTACTGCCTCTATCTTTATACATCTGTAAACCTATCTTCAATATATTGTAGCTTTTTAAAAATGTGCACATTGTCATTCATACTAAGTATAAATAAAAAATATAAGAAAAAAATATTATGGAATGTTATACAGAGAATTTATGAATGTTTTTAACATCAGTTCTGATTTTCAAGCACATGGAATTCTACACTATTAAATGTCATTTTCCAGTTCTATTAAACTTGTAAACAGAGGTGTAAAAAGGCCTATTTTCTGGTATTGGTGGCTTTTCCACTTATAGCAGTGACTTTTTCCTGTCGTACTTACCCTTTTAATGGACACACAATATGTTACTCTGTGCCCAAGCTCACCTACTCTTTCTTTTCTCAAAAGACAAGGCACATCTGCCACCTGCTCTAGTCTGTGTCCCAGCAACAACTGTCGAGCAGCAAAAAGATTGATTATCAGTCAAAAACCATTCAACAACACCAGATTTTGGTAGGTTAAGCTTGCTGATCCAGCAAGAGATGGTGTGAAATTTTCAGTAATGTGTGCCAACATTTTGGTGCTAAAAGAACAGCAGTGCATGTCACAATGAAACACAGCCAAAGATATGCAGACAAAGCACAGAAGTTTTTGTTTTGAACTTGGCTTGCAAGAGGAAAATGAGAGAAAGAAAAGACTCACTTAATGAATTTGAAAATCTATCATAACACCCAAGTCATATGCATGAAAAAACTATAATAAGAGTACTGGTGAAGACTTTGTAACAAATTAGAGCAGTACCCATATAAAAATACTGCAATAATAGAATCATATAAGTGATTCATACAGTACAAATAGCAGTTTTATCACACAGTGTTGCAAGAATAAATAGAGAGATCTGTGCCTTTTACTGAATAGATAGGCCATTCATTACAGCCATTCTAGGGAATGGATCACCTGTATTGTACTCAGAATAATTTTTATGTTATCAACAACAGCTAATCATATACTAAATTGATTATGTAAGACACAGGCTTACTAATATAAGTTTCATTCATGAATACTTCCATGAATATGTAAACAAACCTTTAATTACTGGACTCATATCATAAAGGGTCTACTAATTAATATTAGATCTTTATGTGTATAGAGCAAGCTATGTAGTAGTCATTTTCTTAGGCAAATATCCAGTAATGAGTACTGTATAGATATCTTATTGAAATGTATTTGTACTAAGTAATATCAATCTGTAAAAGAATTAGTGAAAGATTATTTTGAAATTCAGAATGAAAGATTTAACACTAAAGTATGTCTCCTAATACTTCCTAAGATAACACATGCTATTTAAAAACTATGTAGAAAAATAAAACCAAAGGTTTGTTTCTGAAGTATGTAACAAAAAAAATGCCCCAAAATGCAAAGAAATCTATATATAAAATATATACAACACATATAAAATATGCACATTAGTCGAATGATTTGTCTTTAGTTTTTCTTCTTTGCTATCCCCAACTTTTTAACAAACATATCACACATTTTACTACTACAAGATTAAACAAATTGAAATGTTTCATATAATGTTAAATGCTTTATCTTATTTGTATTTCTCATTGGAATTGTACACCGGATTGTAGATTCCTACCTACACATACACTGTCCTAATAATAATTCTGCTTTTTATAATACATTAGCTTATATAAATTAATAGTTCTTTATCATTAATGCTGTCTGAATTAATAGTTTAATAAAATACCCAACCGGTATCTTGAATTTGATATTGAACACTACTTAAGCTAATGTTGTAAAATGTTACAAATTTGCTGCAGAAATCATGATCTTAAAATATGACAGAGAGAAACATTTACATTCACATTTAAACTGTAAAGGATTCAGAAATAGTTTTTTCCCCTTGTAAAAAATGAAACACAATTACCAGTTTGGTAAAGGAATGAGAAGGAAAGAAGAAAAATTTTAATAATGGTCTTACCAAACAATCTAAAAAGAATAAGCGTAGTAGATATTCCATATTGCTGTATTAAACTTTCAAAAAATTTTAAACAATGACATTAATGAATCCAATCTTACATTCTGGATTATTTTTGCTAGTGGAATAAGCCTAATTAATTATGTCTGTTTGATGTCACTGAAACTAAACAGTAAATTCAATAATCTCTTTACATTTTCACCATTTAACCTCCTGCAGGCTCCCTAATGTCTATTCAGATCTATATTAAATTAAGTACCAATGCTAATGAAGGGCAATAAACGTGGCTGTCAGTAGATTTTTCTTTCATTAAGCACATTATCCTCTTACTGAGCTGTAAATGAGTAAACATTAGTTTTGTTAAACCATGCAAAAAGACAGGATGAAAATCATTTTTAATTGCACCCCTTAAGCCATTTGCTAGGAGTACTCAGTTTTGGTTTTGGTTTTTTACCTTTTATTTTTTTGAATGGATATAAAAAGATCTCTCCAGTCGAAATATAAACGTCGGCATCATGGGGTATGTCTTTAGGTTCTAGTGCTTCGGTGCCGTCTGCCAAGAACACTCATTGTGCAGCCATGTTCAGATTCAGCTTTTCAGAGCACTCCTCCAGCAGCTAAATGAATGCAAGAGGTAAGGAATACTGATTACAAACATAGTTATTTTATGATCAATATTTAGTCAGAAAAAATAAAATTGGAAATAAATCCACTCTCAACTAATATACCAATCATAGTAACTGCACTACAAGTCATGTAATTTTAGTGATTATTACTAGAAATCATGGGATGAGAAAAAACACATAACCTTAGAAAGACTGCTTTTAAAGTATTGTGCTCTTGCCTTTTAATGTCAAATAATATTGTACATTATGCTGTAACTTATTTCATTTAGTGTTTATAAGATTTCTTAACAAGTCACACATTTTAGAGATAGTGTACAAAGGACAAAAAGTTTCATATAAGCTTATTTTAAAGGAAAAAAGGATACATCGGGGTTTGAAGCAAAAGCTACAAATAAACTTTATGCAAGCAAGAAAACTATTAGAAGTTACTGGCTTGATTCAAGGACACAGAAACTTTAGCAAAGATCTTTCTTGTGCCATTTTTGTAAGCTATGACATCGATTACATTTGGCTGCTGTTTAATAACTTTGGATACTTCAAACGCCCTCTGGACGTGCCAGAGTTTTGAAACAGAGCACACAGTTAATTCTGTCCAAAAAATCCAGTTTTAGATATTAGAGAAACAATCCAAGATATTTGTCTTTTCTTCTTTGTTGGTTTTTTTTTTTTACTTTTTTAAAAAATGTTTATAATAATTGTGTGAAAAGACAATTTGAATGTATGGTCATTAAAATTCTTCACAGCGTAAGAATTTAGTTCGCAGCACCTAAGTTATACATATAGCAAATACAGAGAAATTAGACTATTATAAGCAAAATAGACTTAATCTATCCCAAATTAAATTTATTCAAACTTCTGGAATACTTGGAAAGCAGTTGCTTAATTCCCCTATGAAGTCCTTTTATGAAATATCTTAAGAATTTCACAAGAAAATAAATCACCTAGTTTTAAAAGTATTTTCCAAAATCTATCAGAACAAATAAATACAGAAAAAAATAATTGTTGATTCTGAGAAAACTTGTAATTAAAGAGTGCTTTCAGTGCATAGTATGTAGGTTATTGCTTCTAGTTTAAAAAGTAAGAACTGATGACAGTCTTTTCTCAGGCAAACTTTCAATCAAATTGACAGCAATTATGCCTGTACAGTGACTGCAGAGTGGGGCTTATTGTTAATTGTTTCTGTTTCCCAGATAGCAAAATATATTCCATGCAGCTGCCAGAATAAAATTAAATAAAGTAAAATTCAATTTAAAAAAAATCATAATACTATTTTAAAATGCTTATACCACAAACAACTTCTGAATGATACCACAATAAGACTATTTTTAAAAGGGGAAAAAAAAAAAAAAGGAGAGGAAAGTAGATTTATAACAAAATGTCATACTTCAGCAAGAACGTTTGTGGCATACGGTCTCTGTCCTGGGCTGCAACAAGAGGTTCCCATGCAGAACTCAAAACTAGTTTGAGGCCTAAGATTTGAATTTCTCTCCCATGAAAAACCTTGGAAATTTTTTCAATCATTTCAATTAGCACTGAACTGATACTTTACTTAAACCATAATGGCATGTAGGTATTCTCACATATTTTACCGTTTCCACATTTCTTGACTGACAAAATGACCATAAGAATCCTAGCGTTTTTGTCTTTACCATTTCTAAAGCAAGCCATGCTATTAAATCAGCCTAGCTACTTCAGTGTCGAGTACTAAAACATATAAATAAGAAAGCCAGAATGTGCCTATATATTTTCTTTTTAGTTTTAAAGTTTAAGACTTTCATACATCAGGTGACAAGTCTATTAAAATACATGTCTTATCACACAAAATTAGCAATTACAAATACTTTAATGGTTTTGGATAAAGCACATTCAGAAAACATTTACAAAAAAAAAGAAACTTAGAGCCATTTGTATCCTATTGGAGGTCACATCTGCACACAAATGAGGGAATACCATGATATCATCTAGGTTTGTCTCAGTTTACAACAATTTCCCTACTCAAAATAAAAGACACTAACAACAAAAAGCTTTTGATAAGGAGATCTAAATTAAACACACTAAAATACACTTTTGTTCACCAGGTCTTCACTTTAATCACCTTTACAGTACATCGCAAAATCCAATGGTTCTCTTGGATTTTCCAGACAGAATGAATCAATTCATTTTGGATTAATTACGGAGAATCACATTCTTCTTTCAGAGGGTCAACTTGACAGATATTATCTATTGTTAAGTCTATTAAAATTTTGTACAGCAAACTGGGATGCCTGGTTTATTGTCATTTTATTTGTCTTTCAGAAATGTTTGATGAAATTAATATGGTTTTAAAAAGGATATACTCTAAGAAATTGTTAGGTCAAGAAATCTTAATAAAAATTAGCAAGGTCTGGTTTAGAATATCAACTGAATCATCATTACAAGGTGAGTGAACTGCAGCAGTCGTGATTAAAAGCAAGAGAAGAGCTTTGATTACCTTAGTTGACCTGTGGGAACACTTTCAGCTCTGTTTCTCTTGGATGGTGATATAAGACAGAAATTGTCTGTACTGCTTGATTTGTAGCTGTCTATACGTCTGATACTCCATCACAGCTCTGAACTGATTTTTTTTGATGTGTAGAACACTCTTGAAGTCTTGACCTTCTTGATACCATTGCTGATTGCAGGCGAATGTTATCAGCAAATAGAAGTTGTGTAGAGCTTTGCTTCCTTTCAATATCTTTAACAACTACTTTTGCATAGGGAGGTAAACATTTTCTGAAACAGAAATATGATAAATATAGTTAAAATGTTATCTTTTTGCTCTGGTCTTTCAACTACTTTAAATTAGTACTGATTGACTGTATGGAGTTCAGAAAAGCCTACAATAACTTAATTAAAGTTGGAAAACACCTTATGAAACTGCCTTAATAATTTCATCCTGATTCTTATTTCTGCAAACTATATAATTATTTCAGAATTCAGCTCAATTAATCTTTGCACAAGCTAGGATCAGAATGAGAATTGTATAAAGTGCTCTAGAACAGAATTATGGTGAAGTACAGTAGGTATTTCAGCTATACTACACTGCACTAGCACTGAGTCTGTACTAGCCTTCCTTCATTCAAAATGAACATTAAATTATATCATAAAGCTAAAAAAAAAGTTTTGTTTGCATAAAAACATTAAAAATAACGAGAATAATAAGCCTCCAACTTTCAATCTGAGCCTACTATTAATGGAACAAAATTACTTTATACCGTAGGCCAAAAGTCTAGAAGAAATATTCACCCATATGAAGATCACACAATTTAATTTTATCCGGTCTTTGGAAGATCCAAATCAGCACTAGTGTAACTGTGCCAACAGCAGTATCAAAGATCAAGAGGAAGCAAGAAAGGAATTGGATGAGATCAAGCCCTCGTTCTTCTTTCATATTCAAATAATTCTTAAGTGTCAGAATATTCCATTATAAATTACAAAAATGATGTCACAACAAATGTGAACTTCAAAATTCGTCCACATGGATTGCAGTATGTTTACCTAGGAAATCCTTAAACTAATATACTAGCGCAGGAATACTAAATATTGGAGTTCAATCAATCAGAACTCTTTTTAGTATTATGAGTCTGAACACACTATGCTGTGTTTTGAATTCTGACTAGTGACAGCAAGAGGACATTATTTTTTGTAAATACTCTTTTTCTTAAAAGACCATTTTGTTACCCACTTCAAGAGCAGAAAATAACTACAAAACCAGAAACAAATTTCTTTATACAATAAGAATCTATTAATTGCCATTATTTATTCTGTAGACAACTTCCTTCTTTAGCAGGTAACATCTCTACTTGCTACTCATGAACTATTTTGATGGAATATAAACAGTACTTTTAGTATTAACTAGGAATTATCTTGTTTGCATTACAAGTAAACCATTATGTAAGTGGTCTGGTGTAGCAAAGGGTTACTACTTTTCAACAATATATAGTACATACAAAACCTCCTGTCACGAAATTATACTACACATGGAAAATACCTACAGGACTACTACTATTATTGTTCCCCAGTCCTTGTACAGCTTTTCCTGAAAATTTCTCATCATTGTAACAACTATCTATACGTACAGTGTATGTAAATTTTAGGGTACTTGTGCAAAAACTCTAATTCCTTAACTGAGGTGGTTTCAAAGAGAAAATGCAAGATGTAATTACCAAGAGTAATCTTACTCTTGCACTGCTGAGCTGTTTTATACTTTGAGAAAACTCAAATTTAGATGTAACCCTGGTGCCCATCCTTCTGGAGATTAAATGCCATAAAATGAAAGTCTTAATATGTGGAAACTTCATAAAAGAGTCAATTTCAAATGATGTTCACTAGTCAGGAAAAACAGCTTGGCACTCAATATTAAAGCAAAATTTCTTCTTAGTCAATGGTAAACTTTGCTAGTTGCTACCACCAAGATGTTGTGATCCTATTTTTACGACACAAGTAAAGATGCCCAGGTAGAGAGATACTGAGAGAAAAGATTTTGAAACCAGAAATTTAAATGGGAAAAGAAATGAAAAGAACTAAAAACCTAAAGAGCTCTAAGAACTTTTTTCCCATTTAAAAGCAATTAAATTGCTGTTTATTCACGGCCAAAGCACTGAAGTCTTTTTGTAATTATTACAAAAGGAACTTTTGCTTTCAGTTAGTTCCACATGCTGAAATTGTTTAGCTACATCAGATCAAAATTTTTATTCTGTCGCTCTAGTGTAATTTTCTAATTATTCATTATTATCTAACTAAAGCACACTTCTCCATATTTCTTCTTTAAATAGAAAACAACAGTATACTAAAGAAAAGAAGATAGGCCATACAGTTTTCTAAGACATAAATCTGCATATGGCTAATATTTTTTTCCATAAGTGAAAAATATAGTTACTTTAACAGACATTGGTTCATTAACAGCTATACAGGTCAAAGTTATCACTGAGTTTTGGATACGAATTCAACAGCAGGATAATGACAGTCGCCAAGGATTTGTACTTGCTGTCGCTTAGTACCAGTGTTGCCTGTCAAATTGTCTCTTTTTCTTATACAGAAGCCATGGAATCTTTTATGGATAGCAATTACTTACAATATACAATGAAGTACATCAGATGTAACAACCACCCTTTAGCCCTTCATTATTTGGTCGTCTCTTTGTTATATCTAGTCATCCATTTTCACCTAAATTATTTATTTATACTGCATATTTGACAAGCATGTATTCTTTCCTTTATTTTTTTCAGTAGTCATTCAAAAGATATAGTGATTTATTTAATATTCGATTTAAATTTACATATTTAAATTCACCTTAATATTTTTTTTTTGTACTTGCACTTCATTTTGGATTTCTCAAGAAAAGCATTATCTGCATGGCGAAGGCATTTTATTTATCTACCAAAGGTATTAAAAGTTAAAATAATGGCAATATCAGATCTTAACCACAATGGAGGGGTTAAGCAAATCTTATATTTATTCATTATTTGTTTGCATTGTTAAAGTATTTTTCTCCAACCGTCACGTTTCATAGTTGTTTGCACTTACATTATTGTGGCATTACATGCAGGTATGCTCCAGATAACCATATTAATATATCTTTATATTGACAGATGAGAACATGATGTTTCATATATTATGGTCCTGAACATTTTCTGCATTAACATCATCATAAGACTTGTGAAAAGTCTAAATTTAATTTTATTATACAGGAAACCCACAGCATACAGCATTTACATCATAAAAAACAAAGCCTAATAGTTTAGTAAATTTAATATGCTTGGGAAACTGTGTTCATAACTCACCCAACAAAGGGCAGCTTTACACAGCATCACTTTGGGAAGGACCTTCTTCAACAAATAATGCTGCAGACCTCACACCTGCCAAGTAAACTACACTGTTCTCAACTCCTACAGCAGTTGGAAAGAAAAAGTGATGATTGTTTTCCTTTTATTAGGAAAGCCAAATCTTTTCCTTTTCTCCTAATATTCTTTCCAATTACAGGCTATCACAAAACTACAATCCATTCCAAATGAGTACACCCTGAGTAATAATCTAATAAGTACAGGCTGTGTGTGAAACTCATGTCCCACTAAAATTGTTGGGAATTTTGCCAAAAGTTTGAATGAAAATTTTATCCTGGATCTCTGAGTCAATGAATAGAAAGAAACCGCTTCTCCTTTCTCTGTCATTTCCCCACTGAAACCCTGGCATCCCACAGACCTCTGGCCATGAAAGGTTTTTCTCCAGTACGCTAAAGAGAAGAAAAGAAACTACTGCTCAGTTAGGCAACTGGTGCCTAACACAGAAGAAAATGTTTAAACAATCCTTTTTGGATATCATCATAATCTGACAGCATTTACTATCTCTTCTTACTTAGCCAAGAAACTAGACAGCACCCAGTACATCTCTTCTGTCTCACCCCAAATGGCACAGAAATGGATTTTCTCTCAGTGCCAGCAGAACAGACAACACCTACTCAATGCCTGAGGAATGAAGCAGCCACACTATGGAAATCAGGGCAAAAAGGAGAACATACATTTCCTTGACCAAAATAAGCACTCACAAAGAAATTGATAATTGAGTCATCATAGCATAGTTTTACTAGCTAGGTAGGTAACAAGGTAAATAAAAAGTTGTAAAAGTTTGAAACTTAGGTGTCACTTATACTTGCACAGTTAAAGTGGCTACCATCTGCTCCCACAGTTCTCTGTGAAGCACAGAAGAAAGGGTAGCAGCACCTTGGGATCTTAAATGGCTGTAAGGACCGTGACTACATCCCCCTCCTGGGGATTTGGTTGCTGGGCTCAGGGCCAGCTTAGAGATAGCACAGCTGAGGGCTGCCCCTCCTTCTCTCTGGTGACTGCAGGGAGCTGCCAGACAGCTCGGCAGGGCAGCCCC